CCATTCACAGTCTTTTATGGCCATTCTTTTTCATGTCCCAAAATGTAGGCTGCAGCCACACCAGACTACTATCCATTTCCTAAGCAGGCAGTGATTAAGCATCCATCCATGAGCTCCATCCTCATGATACCCCTAAATAGAGTCAGGTGTGATCAGTGACTGAATACAGTGACAGATGACAAGTACAGTAATTAGTCACTGATGCAGGAATCTGAGCAAATTTATTCTAGCGAGGTCCAGGGTAATTACTTTGTCTTTAATGAGTTACTCCAGAATCTAGATTCCTCTGGGATGCAGGGTCCCTGAGGCTCAGGGATGGGTAGAAGGGGAAATGTGAGAAGGAGTGGTCCAGACACAGGGGACGACTACAGAGACTGTTACTTTATGTGTCGTAATGGATAAAAGGGAGCAGGATCTCAGGTCAGGACGCTGGAGTTACTGTCAGATGTTGGGTGAGTTGGGCAGAAGGGTGAATGAGCTGATTCTTGGTGTCCTTCCAGCCTGAGGGTCTTGATTTCCCAGGTGTATGATGTTCTGCAGGATATTTTTTCAGTCATAATAACTTTTCTCTTTTCTACGTCTTTGCCTCTCATGACTTTCCAACATTCTAGAAGTATTTTAACTGATGTTTTCCAGTTACAGTCGTTGGTAATGATAGTACTTACACATATTCCTTATTGTGCAATATATCCTCACAAGATCCTATCATTTTGGTATAATGACAGCTCTGTGTGGTGTGCTTTAATGCAGTCATTCTCAAGCCTTGTTTTGTTTTAAAATTATCTGTGAAGCTTTACAGATAATTTTATGGTTCTCCAGAAGTCAGAACCATAAGCATAGTCTGTCTATCTATCTGTCTGTCTGTCTGTCTGTCTGTCTATCTATCTATCTATCTATCAATCATCTATCCATCTGGCATCTATCATCTATCTATCTATCTATCTATCTATCTATCTATCTATCTATCTATCTAATCTATATATCATCTCTAATCTATCTCTCTACCTGTATCTGTCTATCTATGTATCTATCTATCTATGTATCTATCTATCTATCTATCTATCTATCTATCATCTATCCATCTGGCATCTATCATCATCTATCTACATCTACCTCTCTCTCTCTCTAATCTGTCTCTCTACCTCTATCTAACTATTATCTATCTATCATCTATTATCTATCTATCTATCTATCTATCTATCTATCTATCTATCTATCTATCTATCTGTCATCTGTTACCTATCATCATCTACTTATCTCTATGTATCTATCCATCTATTTATCTATCATGTATCTATCATTATCTCTCTCTCTACATCTATCTGTCTATCTATCTATCTATCTATCTATCTACCTACCTACCTACCTACCTATCTGTATCTATCAAGACACACACACACACACACACACAGAGAGAGACAGAGAGAGAGAGAGAGAGATTCTTTTAAGAAATTGGCTCACAAGATTGTGAGCATGGATAAGTCTGAAATCCACAGGGCAGGTAAGTAGGCTGGAGACCCAGGGAAGAGTTGAAGTTACAGTCTTGAGTCTGAGCAGTCTGAAGGCATAATTCTTTCTTCTTCAGGAGACTGTGGTCTTTTCTCTTAAGGCCTTCAACTAATTCTATGAGGCTTATCACGTAACGGGGGAGTCTGCTTTACTCAAAGTCTACTGATTTACACGTCAATCATATTACAGAATACCCTTACCACAACATCTAGAACTGGCGTTTGACCAAAACTTGGTACCAGAGCCTAGCCAAGTGATAGACTGGATAAAGAAAGTGTGGCACATATACACCATGGAATACTATGCAGCCATAAAAAAGAATGAGTTAATGTCCTTTGCAGGGACATGGGTGAAGCTGGAAACCATCATTCTCAGAAAACTAACACAGGAACAGAAAACCAAACAACCTCATGTTCTCACTCATAAGTGGGAGTTGAACAGTGAGAACACATGGACACAGGGAGGGGAACAAGACACACCAGGGCCTGTCGGGGGGTGGGGGCCAAAGGGAGGGAGACCACTGGGACAAATACCTAATCCACGTGGGGCTTAAAACCTAGATGTCGTGTTGATGGGTGCAGCAAACCACCATGGCCCATGTATACCTATGTAACAAATCTGCAAGTTCTGCACATGCATCCCGGAACTTAAAGTAAAATAAAAAAAATAAAGATTAACCATCACATGGGATATGGACACCTGAGGATGAACTCAAAGGAGGGCTTGAGGTTAGAAATTATCCTTCTTCTTTCTGTTTGTCCCCAAATTTATAAAATTATTATCATATTTGTTTTTCCCACACCAATTTCCATGATGTAGATTTGAGCACCAGAATGTTTGGTTTGGGTCATTTGTATTTGTGAAAAGAGTAGAATATCTGAGATACCCTAATATTTTTCCCAGGCACAAAATTACATTGGTGAAGTCAGCAACAGAGTGTCAAAATGTAGTGTTAAATTGGTAAAGGTAATGAGTTCTTATTCCAGGAGGATTTAGCAGAAGTAGTTATTCTAATGGTTATTTGCTGCTTTTTAAGTTGGAGGAATGCACATTCCAGCCTGAGAAACAGCCAACAACTATTTAGAAAACATCTGCATTATCCAGGCACCACACCAAGTGCCGTGACTGCCCTGCCACGGTTATGACATGGCCTTTCATGCATAGCATTTACAGTCTGGTAAGGAAGTCAGCTATCAACAGGTGACCAAAGGCATGGAGTGCTACCGGATGAGTATGAGATGCTGCGGAAACGTAGAAGCAGGTCTCACCTGGTTTACAGAGACACAGGGAAGGTTTAGCTGAGCAACTTACATGTAATAGACCTGAAGGATAAGTGAAAATGAGCCGGATGAAGATGGGGCATAGGGGGGATAGGTGCTAGGTAGGAGGAACAGCAAGTATGAAAGGCTGGAGGCAGGAAATTATGACTTGTAAGTCCAGCATTGCTGAAAAGAGGATGCAAGAGTCGTTGTGGGGCCAGATGAGGCTGTGGAGGCAGGTGTGGGTCAGGTAATGAAACCTCCTTTGTGCTCTTGAAAGGAATTTTGCCTTTATCTTAAGAACAATGATAATCCATGAAATATTTAATCAGGAGAGAGGGATGATCAGATTTTCATCTCAGAATGCCACAGTATAAATGAAGATTGTTGGAAGAGAAGGTTTTTGAAGCGCAGGGGCAGGAAGATGAATTGAGAAGCAGTTTCAATAGTCCAGGTAAGATTTCCACCTGGTCTAGGGCAGTGGTAGTTGGGATAAGGAGTGGATGAATTAGAAAGAGGATGAAGTGCAGAATCTATAGGACTTGCTAGATTGGATGTTGACTGTGAGAGAAAAGAATTAATGAAATCAAACCTCAGGCCTCTGACTTGAGCCTGGAATCCATTCACTAAACATGAGAGAGTGGAGGAGGATGGAGTTAGAAGAGGAACAGGGTGAGATCAGAATTGCATTTAGGATCTGTTGAGCCGAAGATGCCTGTGATCCATGCAAGAGATGATAATTATTGAGACTCAGGATACCAAGTTCTGTATACTAGAGAATGCTACATCTGAACACCTGAGTTTTTTGTTTGTTGTTTTTTTTTTGACAGAGTCTTACTCTGTCACCCAGGTTGGAGTGCAATGGCACAAACTTAGCTCACTGCAACCTCCACCTCCCAGGTTGAAGCAATTCTCCTGCCTCAGCCTCCTGAGTAGCTGAATTACAAGTGCCCACCACCACACCAGGCTAATTTTTGTATTTTTAGTAGAGACGAAATTTCACCATGTTGGCCAGGCTGGTCTTGAACTCCTGGCCTCAGGTGATCCACGTGCCTCGGCCTCCGAAAGTGCTGAGATTACAGGTGTGAGCTACTGCGTCCAGTCTATACTTGAGTTTTAAATGGCAATTAAAGCCATTGGAGTAGATGTGTTTTTATTGGGCATTATGCAGAATTATAAAAAAAATGAAGTTTGGAAAACTCCCTGAGGAATATCAACATGTAAGATACTGACAGAGGAGGAGCCAACTACAGTTACTGGCCAGGCAGGTAAGAGAGAAACCAACACATTTTATGTTTCAGAAGTAAATAGATGAGTATTTTAGAAAGGATGGAATATTGTTACATGTTAAAGATAAATGAAGAGAAAAAAGATAAAGTTAAATAAGTCATTTCTGATTATAGCGTTTCTTATTATAGATATTCGTGGTATAGAGATGATAATTATTTTAATGTCAGTTCAATAAAGAATTTTTGCAAAACACCAAACAGACCAAGTGTCACACAAATATCTCCATTTTAAAATTCAGATTTTTAAAGGACACTATTATATTCTCTTAAAGATACTGGAGACAGAGCATGATGGGACGAAATCAAACCAGCATCTCAGAGTTCCTGCTCCTGGGCCTGCCCATCCAGCCAGAGCAGCAAAACCTGTTCTATGCCCTGTTCTTGGCTATGTATCTTACCATCCTCCTGGGGAACCTCCTCATCATTGTCCTCATTCGACTGGACTCCCATCTCCACACGCCTATGTATTTGTTTCTCAGCAACTTGTCCTTCTCTGACCTCTGCTTCTCTTCCGTGACCATTCCCAAGTTGTTACAGAACATGCAGAACCAAGGCCCATCCATCCCCTATGCGGACTGCCTGACCCAAATGTACTTCTTCCTGTTTTTTGGAGACCTGGAGAGCTTCCTCCTTGTGGCCATGGCCTATGACCGCTATGTGGCCATCTGCTTCCCCCTGCGCTACACCGCCATCATGAGCCCCATGCTCTGTCTCGCCCTGGTGGCGCTGTCCTGGGTGCTGACCACCTTCCATGCCATGTTACACACTTTACTCATGGCCAGGTTGTGTTTTTGTGCAGACAATGTGATCCCCCACTTTTTCTGTGATATGTCTGCTCTGCTGAAGCTGGCCTGCTCTGACACTCGAGTCAATGAATTGGTGATATTTATCATGGGAGGGCTGATTCTTGTCATCCCATTCCTACTCATCCTTGGGTCCTATGCATGGATTATCTCCTCCATCCTCAAGGTCCCTTCGTCTAAGGGTGTCTGCAAGGCGTTCTCTACTTGTGGCTCCCACCTCTCTGTGGTGTCACTGTTCTATGGGACCATTATTGGTCTCTACTTCTGCCCATCAGCTAATAGTTCTACTCTAAAGGAGACTGTCATGGCTGTGATGTACACTGTGGTGACCCCCATGCTGAACCCCTTCATCTACAGCCTGAGGAACAGAGACATGAAGGGAGCCCTGGGCAGAATCATTCATCAAAAGAAAACTTTCTTATCTCTCTGATGATAACACTTGGAGCTATTACATAGTTTATCCAGTAAAATATTGACATTAATATTGGAATATTATTCTAGATTATTTCCTCACCATAAATACTTTTGTTGAAATGGCATCTCGCATAATGTTTCAATATGTAGTGGAGATGAAGTATAGCTGAGTAGCTGAACTAGGGAAGGGGGTCTTGGTGACCTGGCTAAGACTTCCTGTTTGTCTTCCCAAGGTGATCCTGGAAAAACATAGTTTAAGAATGATTGTTTTAGATGGTCTTCGTGCCCCACATTCTTAAATTATCACAGGATTTTGTTATGTTACTCAGAGTTTTGCTTTGACTGTAGAATCATTTTAATTTATTTTTTTTTAAATTTAAAAATTTTTTATTTATTTTTATTTTCTATTTCAGACAGGGTCTCACTCTGTTGCCCAGGCTGGAGTGCAGTGGCACAATCATGGCTCACTGTAGCCTCAACCTTCCGGACTCAAGGGATTCTCCTGCTTCAGCCTCCCAAGTAGCTAGGACTACAAGCATGCACCACTATACCCAGCTAATTTTTAAGATTTTTTTTTTTTTTGTAGAGATGAGGTCTCCCTGTGTTTCTCAGGCTGGTCTTGAATTCCTGGCCTCAAGTGACCCTCCTGCCTTGGCTGTTCAAAGTGCTGGGATTACAGGCATGAGGCTCCATGCCTGGCTTGTGGAATTATTTATTTATTTATTTATTATTTATTTATTTATTTATGAGACTGAGTCTTGCTCTGTCACCCAGGCTAGGCTACAATGGCACGATCTTGGCTCACTGCAACCTCCGCCTCCTGGGTTCAAGTGATCCTCCTGTCTCAGCCTCCCAAGTAGCTGGGATTACAGGCATGTGCCACCACGTCCGGCTAATTTTGTATTTTTAGTAGAGACGGGGTTTCACCATGTTGGCCAGGCTGGTCTCGAACTCCTGACCACAAGTGATCCGCCCATCTCAGCCTCCCAAAGTGCTAGGATTACAGGTGTGAGTCACCGCACCCAGGCTTTTTCAAGTTTTTTTCCTGGTTAACACTAAAGCTGAACATCTTCTTATATTGTTTATTCTTTATGAATTTTCTGTTAATATTCTTTGCACACTTTTATTCAGGTGTGTTTTATTTTTATTAGATTATAGGAGCTCTTTGTATATTTTAAATTTCAATCTTGTGTTTATTAGATGTGTTATAGCCTGTTCCTTCTTTTTCAAATTTCCGTTATCTTTTGTCCCAAAAAACTTTCCTATTTCTATCTGGTCAAATATGTCAACCTTTTTATAGAGCTTCTGCGTTTTGCATAAATTATAAATATTATTTTATATTAGAGTATTTTATAGATTGTAATTTAAGTTTAGCTTTTTAAACCATCTAAAATATAATTTTACTTGTACTGCAAAATTTTCATTTAATATTTTCCCATGTCAATTTCCCCGGTAGTATATCCTTTCTCCCATTGATTTTCTTAATCACAAAACAAATCCTCACATACACAGGACTATTTTTAATGTTCTTTTCACTCAATTGATCTTTTTTGTCAATTCCTGTTCCTGAATAAATAGATACTGTTTTAATTATTGCCTTTTTCAAGTATGTATTGATACTTGGTAGACAAACAACCAATTTATGGTTCCTATTTTTCAAATATTTCTTATAAATTTTACCTATTTTGTCTTTCAAGAGAACTCGAGAATAAACTTGTCCACCTCCACAAAAATAATTCCATTGGGAATTTTGTTTGGATTGCACTGAATGTATTTGAGTAGACATTATTCAAATTACACTCATAATTATGTTATGTTATATTCATATAACTGTGGCAATTCCTCAAGGATCTAGAACCAGAAATACCATTTGACCCAGCAATCCCATTATTGGGTATATACCCAAAGGATTATAAATCTTTTTAAAACTCTTATCTCTACTTGTGGTGTGAGTAAGTTTCCAACATTGGTCAATTTGTATTCTTTTTTATTATTATTATTATTTTAAAAAATGAGTCTTGCTCTGTCACCCAGGCTGGAGTGCAATGGCATCATCTTGGCTCACTGCAACCTCCGCCTCCCGGGCTCAACATATAAAATATGTTATGACATATGTTACAAGGCAAGGGTATTATGCATTGCCTTACCCTAAAACAATCTTTTTATCTCTTTTTATTTTTATTTTTATTTTTTGAGACAGAGTCTCGCTCTGTCACCCAGGCTGGAGCGCAGTGGCGTGATCTCAGCTCACTGCAACCTCTGCCTCCTGGGTTCAAGCGATTCTCCTGCCTCAGCCTCCCGAGTAGCTGGGACCACAGATGCTGCCCCCACGCCCGGCTAATTTTTTGTATTTTTAGTAGAGACGGGGTTTCACCATGTTAGCCAGGATGGTCTCGATCTCCTGACCTCGTGATCCGCCCGCCTTGGCCTCCCAGAGTGCTGGGATTACAGGCGTGAGCCACCACGCCCAGCTTATCTCCTTTATTATAGCAGTGAATTTTGGTCTCTGTAGTGCCGTTGGCCTTAAATTCAACTTTGTTATTAAAAGATAAAGTATGCTATCTGCATTTATTACCATAAGACATATTTTTCTTTATTATTGTTAAATAAAAATTTACATACCATTTTTAATATTATGACTTTTAATTTCTTGAGTTTTTAATTTTGACTAATTCCTTGGTTGGTTAGAGTGCATCAAGTTTACTAATTTTCTATAAGTTAATTTTAAGGCTGAGGCAGGAGAATTGCTTGAACCCAGGAGGCAGAGATTGCAGTGAGCCGAGATTGCACCATTGCACTCCAGCCTGGGAACAGAGCAAGACTCTGTCTCCAAAAAAACAAAAAACCAAAAAAACTTTTACTGCAACATAAGAAAGAGGTAAACAGTAATTAGACACCTATCAATTTTCCTCCAAAACAAAACAAAACAAAACAAAAATGTAAACAGAACAATAACTCTGCCTATACTCATACAGCTTCTCCAATCATGTTAGAAGGATCTCACATTCAATGATCAAGAAATTTTAAAATAGCAGTCATTACTTTTATTTTAAGAAAAAGTTCCCTTTCTCCCCTCCCACCCCAAGTAGTTAACATGAAATAATAGTCTTCCTTACACATGAATTTTATACTTATTTTTGAAGTGGCAACAATTAACAATAATTTGGCATTTCTGTCTAGAGTTGCTACCTTTTTTTTTTTAAATTTCACAAAGCCATTATCCAGTGTTGCCATGAAACAGAGACTGTAAATTCTAGATAGCTGAGATTCTTTCTGAAACCAATGTTAAGTCAAGGAAATATAAAGCAGAGCATTACACTACGTTTCTGGGTCTGGTACTAAAAAGACTGAAACCTAGGAAAAATTACCTCCTGTTTTATAGAAGAAATAAAGACCTGCAAAACCTGATGTTTGGTTGTATAATATTTTATACCCTGTATGGAGTTGTGGCATCTGCTAACTGAAGAGACATGCAATGTATTTATCCCTGCCCGATATCCTACATCTGTCCTTCCCCACCCTCAAGAATCTGCCTCCTTATACCAAGTATTGTGGATACGAGCCAACTTATCCCAGACAATCCAGTGGACAAGTGAGTGTAACAGACTGGTGTGAAGTGTGAGATGCAGAAAAGTCCCTTTCAGTCTTCATCAAAGTTCTACTGTAGAAGAAAACTGGCCGCCAAACTCTCATTCTTCTCACAAGCAAAATATGCTTGTACCACAAATCCTTCAGGAAATCCTAACGCCCTTAACCTTTCTCTAGCTTCTTTTTCCCGAGGCATTATCTGAATGTAGTTCACGTGACTCTGGCAGGTTCTGCAATTTCTCCGCTGCCACTGCCACCACTTCCTCCTGGAACATTGACTTCTTTGTTTTCAATGAAAGGAATTTTAATTTTTAAATTCTTTATTATTTTAATTTTTCCTTAAGGTATTGGGGTACAGGTGGTACTTGGTTACATGAGTAAGTTCTTCAGTGGTGATTTGTGAGATTTTGGTGCACTCATCACCCGAGCAGTATATACTGCACCTTATTTGTAGTCTTTTATCCCTCACCCCCCCCCAACCTCCCCGAGTCCCCAAATTCCATAGTATCATTCTTAAGCCTTTGCGTCCTCATAGGTTAGCTCCTACTTATGAGTGAGAACATATGATGTTTGGTTTTCCATTCCTGAGTTATTTCCCTTAGAATAATTGCCTCCAATCTCATCCAGTCACTGCAAATACTAATTCATTCCTTTTTACGGCTGTGCAAAATTCCACGATTTTGCAATTGTGAATTGTGCTGCTATAAACATGCGCGTGCAAGTATCTTTTTTGAATAATGACTTCTTTTCCTCTGGGTAAGATACCTAGGAGTGGGATTGCTGGATCAAATGGTAGATCTACTTTTAGTTCTTGAAGGAATCTCCACACTGTTTTCCATAGCAGCTGTACTAGTTTACATTACCACCAGCAGTGTAGAAGTGAACACCAGCTTCTTGAACTGGTTCATTTAACATCTGAATACAATGCTTCTGCTGTTGGCTAATTTTTGTATTTTTTTTTAGTAGAGATGGGGTTTCACCATGTTGGTCAGGCTGGTCTCGAACTCCTGACCTCAAGTGATCTGCCGGCCTCAGCCTCCCAAAGTGCTGAACACCAGCTTCTTGAACTGATTCGTTTAACATCTGAATAAAATGCTCCTGGTGTTGGCTAATTTTTGTATTTATTTTTAGTAGAGATGGGGGTTTCACCATAATGACCAGGCTGGTCTCGAACTCCTGACCTCAAGTGATCTGCCGGCCTCAGCCTCCCAAAGTGCTGAACACCAGCTTCTTGAACTGGTTCCTTTAACATCCAAATACAATGCTCCTGGTGTTGGCTACTTTGCTGCAGTAACTGAGGATTTTCTGGACCTATCTGTTGTACTCATGCCAGAGGCAGGGAAGGATTCTGTTGAATAATTTTTCTCATCTGTTGAAACTGAGGCTGATTCTGTAAAAATTCCAGGAGGTGTCCTGAAACTGAGGATGATTCTGTAAAAATTCCAGGGGGATGTAGTCGTAGCTGTCATAGTTGCTGCAACTGCAGTCACTGATAAAGACTGAGAAATCCCAGTACTAGCTGCTTGAGGGGGGTCAACCATAGTCTGACTTTCTCCATCTTCAGGGATTCTCCACTGCTCTGTCAGGGTTGTTGAGTGTGGCTCTCAGGGCTGCAATTACTTGCTCTCCTTCATAGCCCATTGACATGATGGCAGTTACCATATTCTAAGACTGACCTGTCACAGGTGCACATGTCGCATCTTCAGAAGGGTTTGATGAGAAGAATCTTCCGAAGTCCCGTCAGTGGATGTTGGGCTAGCGGCCACTGGCCTCTCTGCTGGCTTTTCTGCAGTTT